GAGTGTACTTTTGAAGAATTTGAACATCTAATTTCAAGATTTGAATTTCAAACATGTTTAAAACTGGAAAAATCTGTACAATCCAAACATCTGAAAAATTGGAGCAGTGAAGAAGCACCATGGATTTGAAACATTTGAACCGTCCAAAGAATCTGAAGCAAATACTAAGAAGAATGGAATCGGAAATCTAACCAGACAAAAAAACACCAGAAAAAAGAAAAAAGGATTAGACAATATAAACTGAAGAATCCTACGCAATGATCTTCGAAGAAACTGAGACTGAAGAATATCATTAATCTGGAGAATATTGTGGATCTGAAGAATCTAAAAATAACCTTTGAATTGTAACTGTTAACGTAACTTGGTCAGTAATTTATCGAGTTTATTTAAGGTAAGATTGTTACGATCATACATGTGAATAGTTGTACTTTCATTATCGAAGCAATTATCGATCGTATTTCATTTTGTTTTTGAGAACCTTGAGATCATTCTCGATTTTTTAATTTTAATTTGTTTAATAATTGGCGAATTTTATTTGCACATTTAATCTAGTCGCAGTGTTGAGTCAAGTAATTAATAATTTTGAATATTTGGTGAATATTTTGTATTTGTAGGATACGAGGTCTAATTTTGGAGACAATTTTATTTTGAGATTTTGGTGATTGAATAAACCAGTATTTTTTTCGTTAACTTGACTGTACTGTTATTATTACCCTCGTATCTTCTCCATTGACTTTACGCAAGCGCAAATAGTTTTCTAGTGCCAAAGAATTTCATACTTTTCTTCCAAGACTCCTTTTATAAAAAAGTGTTCTCGCAAACCACATCCGCTTCATTTTTAAGAACTATCAAAACACTAATTGTCCTATCGCATAAACCAAAGTTATCAATTATTTTCTCATCTAGGTTGTCTATTTACTTTTAACACATGTGTCAAACGTATACGAAAAATAAAAGTTAAACAAATAATTTCTAAGAATAAGGAAATTCGGAGCAAAGAAACCCATGCACCTTTATCATTTTACAATGTCTGATCAATTGAGTTAAAAGAAATAATTTCAATAAAAGACGAACCATGTATACCGTAATCAGTCTTTCTGTTAAACATAAGATAATTACGCAAACTGATATCACAGCGTCAGCAATACTTATTTTAATTTTCATAAAGAAACCCTAAAAAGCATTCGAATTGCTCCAACTTACTGTTACCGATAGGAAGGTTAAACGAGATCGTCAGATGAAAAAGGGTAAAGCTGTAGACACAATCCACGATGCCCTCATTTCAAAATGGAACAAAATTGTGAGATTATGATCAATAGAAATGAGAAAAATACATAAACCGTATAGCCAGGTCAATCTAGGCAGGTTTATACAAGTGAGGTAGAAAAAATTAGTAACAAAGTGATCTCTGCGGAAATGAGTACTCAATGGGGTCCTTATTAATCCCTCAAAAATCGCACTTTGTCGCATTGGTGGAACTTGGAAAAAAATAGCCGCCATCTTGATTTTTTTCGAATTTATTAAATATTTCGTAAAGTATACATTATATCAAAACTCAAGAGACTTTTTTATGGAGAATCAAAAGTTACCTATAATAAAAAAAAGTTTAAGTCTATTGATCAAAAAACAAAAAAGTTATTGAAATTTATGATATGGATTTTTTAAAAATTTGGTAAATATCTGAATTACTTAGTTAAACCTGTTTTGTATGCCCAATAAATCAAAAAAGTGCTTCTTCAAATTGCTACAAGAGAACAAAGATCTGTGTCGAGACTTAGATGTATTTCAAGAACTTGTAGATGCAGATATAGCAACGGCACATTCTTAGGACGTATTTTCAGGTAATTTTTTAGCGCATTTTTGCAAAAAATTTTTTTTGTAAAAAGTAGCTTTTAATCTCACTTTGGCTGGCTGGCTGGCTGGCTGGCTGGCTGTCTGGCTGGCTGGGTGGCAGCAAATGTGGGCGCGTAGAAGAACTCTTGTAGAAAGGCAACGGGTGTACGTGTATCTACAGGGCCGTGAAATTTGTCAACCTTAGGGACATGGCTACATGATGTGGGGTTGGCGACATCTGGGCGTCATCCTCGAGCGTAGTATACTAACGTGAAGGTTTTTCAGTTTTTTCCTATCTTCTACTACAGTTTTGGTCCGATTCTTTTGAAATTGGTGTCGTCGGAAAGATGTTGTAAACGCGCACAACTCCTGCGTGGCGGAATTTTGTTTTTTGTCATAGGGGCGAAATTAACGACCTTTTGCGAGGCGGCGCGCGCGTCTTCGAGAAGTAGTCAGGCGCCTTTTACCTTCCGTTGCGAACTCACGCGGTTTAACGTTTCGTGAATCTCGAATCGCTGTCTCTCTTTCTCGTGTCGCCAATAGAAGTGAATTGCGAGTGAACGGGACGTCGGAAGTGGGTACCGTAAAAGGGAANATGGTGGAGTCAAATCTTCAAACGCGAATTGCTGGTGAACGGGACGTCGGAAGGGGGTACCGTCAAAGGAAATGTGGTAGCCCCCGACACGATCTTCCTGATGGTGGAGTCAAATCTTCAAACGCGAATTGCGGGTGAACGGGACGTCGGAAGGGGGTACCGTCAAAGGAAATGTGGTAGCCCCCGACACGATCTTCCTGATGGTGGAGTCAAATCTTCAAACGCGAATTGCTGGTGAACGGGACGTCGGAAGGAGGTACCGTCAAAGGGAATGTGGTAGCCCCCGACACGATCTTCCTGATGGTGGAGTCAAATCTTCAAACGCGAATTGCGGGTGAACGGGACGTCGGAAGTGGGTACCGTAAAAGGGAATGTGGTAGCCCGCGACACGATCTCACTGATGGTGGAGTCAAATCTTCAATCGCGAATTGCGGGTGAACGGGACGTCGGAAGGGGGTACCGTCAAAGGAAATGTGGTAGCCCCCGACACGATCTTCCTGATGGTGGAGTCAAATCTTCAAACGCGAATTGCGGGTGAACCGAACGTCGGAAGTGGGTACCGTCAAAGGGAATGTGGTAGCCCCCGACACGATCTTCCTGATGGTGGAGTCAAATCTTTAAAAGCGAATTGCGGGTGCACGAGGAAAGTGGGAAGCGGTTAGTGAATGTAGTAGCCTTCGACAAGATCTGTTATTGATGGTTCAATCGAAAGTGGCTAATAGAATACTGATCTGCCACACAAAAATGCGCTGAAGTCCCTTCGATCTCAAACGAGGACTTTGATAATTTTTTAAGTATAAGGTACATTTCTCATTACGCTTACGTTGTATATTTTCCTAGATCCAAGAATGGCTGGGAAACTCCCTCGACCCCCTCAAATATGGTTGGAAAACTGACGAAAATGGAGTTCTAGTACCTATTACCACAACACCCTATTGATTACTCATTTCCGCAGAGATCACTTTGTTACTAATTTTTTCTACTTCAACCACCTATTTTGACTAGCCTAGTACCATAATATAACATGCTAGTACGCTTGGTAAGTTTTGGTTGGAAGTGATATTTGCGTCTTACAGTTACTGAATATGTATTGAAACTCTTTAGTTAGAGTGTAATAGCAGAACTAATATGTACATAATAAATTATTGCGCCTATACAACGAACCTGTGGTCATATGAATACGACACTGTTTAAATATACTCAATTGAAACAATATAAGGAAACGAGTATATGATTAATATCTAACCCTCCCTTAAAATCATATAGGTATCTTTCATTTTTGGTATTAATGACTATCATTATAATCACGAAATAGATTGATGGAATGAAAATATTGAAACAGTGACGAATCCCCACAGTAAAATATTCTGAAAATAGAAAACGCTCCCTTAAGAAATCAACTATAATTAAAAAGTAATTAATAACCCTACAAACTACTGTAATATAACGGATACCAGCGGGACTACAAAACAAGGAAGTAGAACGTTCCCGAAAACTGGAAGAAATAAGCGAAATTCAGCCAGTTTTTATTAATACTGATTACTAAACCATATTCAAGCTGCAATCAAATCAATTTATATTACATAAACACACACCGTATACGATCATTTTTAGCGCATTTTTGCAAAAATTTTTTTTGGTAAAAAGTAGCTTTTAATCTCACTTTGGCTGGCTGGCTGGCTGGCTGGCTGGTCGGCTGGCTGGCTGACTGGCAGTAAATGCGCGCCCGTAGAAAAACGCTTGTAAAAAGACAAGGAGTGTACATGTAACTATCGGGGCCGTGTAATTAAGAACGTTAGGGATGGGGCTACAAGATTTGGAGTCGACGACATCTGGACGCCATCCCCGAGCGTATTATACTAACCTGGAGATTTTTCAGTTTTTATCTATCTTCTTCTACAGTTTTTCTCCGATTGTTTTCAAATTGGTGTCGTCGAGAAGATCTTGTCAACGCGCACAACTCCTGCGTGGCGGAATTTTGTTTTTTTTTCCTAGGGGCGAAATAAACCACCTTTTGCGCGGCGCGCTTCGAGGGGTAGTCGACTTTGGGCGCCCAAAAGTTTCTTACAGCGCGAATCGCGGCCTCTCTTTCTCGTGTCACTAATAGAAGGTCGAGCTATGTGAAGTACCCAAAAGTTGAATACGATTTTATGCCGGGATTTTAGCGAAATCTACCAAAATGTGAATTACGAATGAACGGGACGTCGGAACTGTGTATCGACAAAGGGAATGTGGTAAACCCCGACGAGATCTTACTGATGGTGGAGTCGAAACTTCAAATCCGAATTGTTGCGGGTGATCAGAAGTGGGTGTCGACAAAGGGAATATGGTAACCCCCAAAGGATTTTAATGATGGTGGAGTCAAAACTTCAAACGCGAATTGCGAGTGCACGGTAAGTGAGAAAATGGTACCGACAAAGTGAACGTGGTAGCTTTCGGCAAGATCTTATTGATGGTGGAGTCAATATTCGCTAATAAAACACTGATCTGCCACACAAAAATGCGCTGAAGTCCCTTCGATCTCACACGAGGACTTTGATCATTTTTTAAATTATAACTACATACCATTCTTTAAATATATATAAATAAATCCATGTATGTACTACATTTGATTTTTGGGTCCATAAATTGGCACATTTCTTGGTTGCAGAATTTGTTAGCCAACATTGAAATTTTGTTTACCAAATTTACAAACCATGCATAATTTGTTTACGTATCTGAAAAAAGTTACTTAATTGCGTGCTCAATGAAGTGGTAGCTTAATACTTTTACGTTCTTCTTGATTAATTATTTTAATTAAGTCGTACCTATGTCGCACTTTTGTCACAATAGCGCGACTGGCCCTGGATTATCTGATTGCAAATTTAAAATCTCGTGGCTTCATATTTCTGGAAATGAAGTAACTAATAGTTATTCGAAACGACATACCTACAGTGGAAAGGTCTTTGTGGTTTTTAAATGAGGCGATAATAGACAAAACCGTTCTGGTTTCTTAGTCTGCTTATTTATTGTATCTTATTCGGATGGAAGAATTACCATGTTCTTGCATAAATGTGGATTAAGTTGCAAAAATCCTGTCACTGATTGATTTTCTTTTTTTACGGTAATTTATATGAATTACCGGGTAGATCATAAAAAACATGATGTTTTGAGTACTATTTGTGATATGGTTACTGGTCACTGGAAACGGCGTAAAAACCAACCTGATTTCCGGTTGAATGGTGTTAAACACTTGTCTTCGAAAGTTGTCGCAAGATCACCCCCGTAGATGATTATGCAAAATCGTAACCAATGCGTCATACAATAATGCATCAATCATTACTTCACATTAAAATTAATGGGGTATGGGCAACGTAAATTTGAAGTCCAAGTACATATCGTGCTCGACTATTAATGATGAAACCAACCACTAAGGTTTTAGTATCTGTCCACTTATTGACTCGGTTCCGTACCAACGATATAACGATTTCTGCGGGGTTTGAGGTTCAGTGATTATACACAATGGTGCCTTGCGAAAATCAAGATCGCGCGCATCTATTTGAAGATGCAGGGCAAACTAAATAGAATAAAATGTATAGAAGATAAATTGAGGCATTAGGTACGTACTGTATAAAAAACTTCTATATTTATGTTTCTTTGTTTGACTTTTACTATATAATTTATCAATATATCCTTGAACAAATTCTGATTACCTATGTCAAAACGTTTACGTGGGGTTTTTTTAAAAACTTTATTCCGAAAATTATCACGACAGCAGGGCGCTTTTGCGTATCTACAAGTAGGTATTAGAAGAATTAAAGCATCTTATTCTCCTTTTTGCTATTATTTCAACGTTATATGCAGTGGGAGTTGTGAATTTAAAGTTACTGTCAAATAACAGCGTTATACGGGGTGTACCAAACTGTTTGAAATTCCATGGGTAAGTTTCTTAATGCATATTGTAGCTTTATGTGCTAACTAAAATGGCGCTTAAAAAATTTAAAACTTTAAGTAATGAAAAAACACTGAACGAATTCAAAATAATAAATATTTGTTAACTGATTTAATATTAAATATCAATAGTTAGAAACGGTTTTAGGCTTTTTTAATAGTGAAAAATTTGATCGACAGAATAAAAAAGACAGTTTGGTTCCCGAACGAAAGCGATGACTTAAAGATTAAGATGATTTGCCCATTTGATCGTGAAATAATCGTAACACTTTAACGAAAAGTTGAAACTTGATTGAAATTCATTAGTTGATTAAATCCCAACTTACTTGATATACCTACTGTGTTTTGATCATTGAATTATAGTTATAAATTCAATGCTTTGATGATGCGCATTGGAAAATCAGCCTGCGGTCAAGCAACCCACTTTACACCTTTGATTCAACTCTTCTAATTTTGCGTACGTACTTACGTCTAACATTTTTTTGCAGTGGCAGACTGTGCCAATTTGAAATCAATGCATTTTTCTTTATACCTATGTTTAGCTAATGGTCGAGTTGGGAAATTGTAACAAAAGAGATGGATGATGCCCCTACTTTCTTTTGACATGGTTTTGTATTCTAGGTTGGACAATAATATTTAATATTTATACCCACCCAATAGGGGTACATTGTACCTATAAACACGCCCACTGTGCAAGCAATAAATCAAACAAATATTAAATAAATAAATAAATCCATTTCATTGGAGGTGAATGCCTAGGGGCTGGGGCGTTAACTTGGGGACCTCACCCAAGGCAACCTTTACCAACAATTTTTTGCGAATAGTGACCCCTATTTTAACTCCTAAATAAAAGAGAGCGATGATCAGAGGGCCCGGTAATCATATATTTCCGAGGCCCAATCTTTGTAAGGGCTTCCAGTGCTATTCCAAGTAACTGATGCGTCCCACTTCTCTTGTATATCATTATTCGTAAAATTAGGGGATGTTTTCTCTGTCACACAGTTTTTTATTTTGGTTAAAAACTGTAGGTCTAACTGGGTAGTAGCATTATTTTTTAATATCGTGGCCAATATGCCATTTGAATGTCAAACATTTGTGGAAAAAAAATCTAGTGAAGATTTGTTTGGCGTAGGTAAAGCTTTTGAATAAAAAATGTTTTACACCTGCAATACAAATCAAATTCAGTTAATAATTCTCAGAACAATGTCTTCACATAGACTACAACGGCTGAAACACGTCATTCGTTTTTTTCCCATCTCCAAGTATGGGGTGGGGAGGAGGTTGATAGTCTTTTTCCAGACAGTTTTTCCATAGAAGAGCTTGAAGAGTTGGAGGTGTATTCGCAATTACTCTACATTTCTTTCATGAAAAGGAACCGCCTAACTCATTAACTGTGTTTCAGGGAGGTGTTGCATCATACAAAAGAATCACAAATCTTTGCACGGTTTTGCATGACATCTTCATCTTGGAGTCTTTCCATTCCCCCTGCTCAAAAAAGAAATTAATAATATTCAGATACGCCATCCATACTTCTAAGCTCCTTTCTTGGCTGCTTCACAAAATAATGACACGATATCGCATGAAATGAGAACATAGGCCGTAGATGCCTATTAGCGTACGATTTTTCTTAGTTCCGAAATTAATCCAAAGTGAATATGCTCTCTCATTAACTATTATGCCAAGAATGTAACCAAGCGCTTTTTGCCTTCATCTATTCCACTATTCCTAAAAGATCTGTGCAATTATTGTGGAAGGTGTAATTCGCATGTGCACTCCTGTTCCTCTTGATTGGCACGTCAGCGTTTAATGATTCATTGCTATATCTATAACACATTAACTCAATTCGCTGTATATTTTGGAATAATGGAAATAATTACCTACTTACAGTATTCCGAAAACATTTATTCATTTCTTGGATCGAGGGCAATAATCGCTGTACTGCGGCAGAAAAATATTTCTCACCTTGGTTTCTTTTCCAACACTGCTCCCCAAACAAAGAATAATATCCTTTCTCAATCTTCCGCTTTCAGCGATAGAAGATTGATTCTCTTGAGCAAAATCTTTTTCTCGATTTTGAAAAGTTACGTATAATTGCAAGAAGCTGGAATCGTGTCGGAGATCAGCAATTCTTGTTTTTGATTTTGAAGCAACTTTCAATATTTTGTTTAAGGACATCATGTATACACAACTCGGTTCTGTTAAGGAGGCGTTCAATATATTCAATATATTCGTCATACTGCTTTAACTCAATTGAATGGGCGTTCTCCATCATCCTGACGGATTCTTTTTGGGCACTTTGGACTACCGATTGAAGTTAAACAGTTACTTTCAAATGGACTTCCTTCTTCACTTATATTATATTATCATGCTTTTCGTATCAGTAGCAGATATCGCGCCATCAATTCTCATTTGCCATTGGTCGACCACTTGGGAAGCCGACCAACGGCATGGATTTTGCTAAAATCTTAAAAATTGTTATTCAGCAAATATATGAAAGTAGGTATGTACACGTATATCTAACATTGATTTTTACTAAAAATATGGCCCTTTGGAATGTTAGTCTACGTCTATGCAACTTTTTGTACCACTCCCCTCCCTCATCCCCGGATTGCGTCGCCACTAAAAAACTACATCACAATAAAGCATTTTCGCCGCCAGCATTGAAATATTTTTATGTTATACGATCCCAAAAGAGATCTAAACGAGATGGCTTGAGTAAAAATAAAATACAGCACTGCCAAGTTAACAAACTCGAGTGCTTTTAGTGTTAAGAATAAAAATTGGGGGATTGAGTGAGTCACACATTCACCGATTTTTCTCGAGCGGTTTAGGGATAGGGGTCTGAAAGCTTCTTTGAGACTTTTGTAAGATCTTGGAAATGGTTTGTGGCCCTTAACGGCTCTTAAAAACTTTCAAATACCCAAAAAGCTCTTCAAGGCAAAATCTATTAATTACTCTTGCAACAGTTTACATTGTAAAATTTTGCAAAAATTAACAATAAGACCAAAAAATACACTGGTTTTATTCTATGTGCACTTCTTTAAATATTAATTAACTCACTAATAAAGTCCTCCTCCATTGAGTATTGTAGCCTTCTCGCTGCTACACTCTTAGGACGTACATAAGGATTTTTTAAAGCTCTTAAAAACCTAAGAGGCCATTAAAGGTTCTCAAACCCTCTAGAAGACCCGTGAAGGCTTTTTGGGAACTCTATTATAGACTCTTGTAGGGTTTTCAAAGTCCTTAGAGACTGTTGACGACTATTAAACGTTCTTAAAGGCTCTTCAATAATCATATAATAAATACTCCTAAAGATGACTAAAACCTCTTTTAAGGAACCTCAAAGCTCTTAAAAGAGCTATCAAAGGTTGTACTTGTGATAAATATTAGGAACCCATAGAGGCAAAACATTTCGTGACCTGTTTCACTATACCGGGTGGTGCCTAGAGCGACGCAGCATAGGGATTTCAATGGTAATTTCTTCATAGTCAATTACTAGCTCCCCTAATTATTTTAGAGCAAAAGTCTAAATATGTTTCTTTTAGAGAAAAAAATACTGCATCTGCTCATACTTTTAATTATAATTTTCCGTTTTTCAAAACCGTAGAAATTGACAAAATAAAAAGGTTCATTTTACAATAAATCAAATATGCCTTGGAATTACCTAAAAAAACAGCGATCACATTTCATTATTTGCCTTTGACGTATATTAAATTTATTGTTTATAAATTAGTTAAAGAACTACAAGTGCAATAACGTTCAAAATGTCCGTCAAAACCATCAGGAAAACGACAATACATTCAACGTTTTGGCTGCAGTAGCGGAAAATCAAAATATAAGTTTAGGAACAAATCTTCTTCAAATCAGTTTTTTTTCTTAGATTATGTAGGTAGGTACTCTGATTCCGGAAAATGATAAACAAATAGTATCTGATGCAGATGCAGCATACATTCTCTAAAAAAACATTACCCTAAGATGCCTTTTATTGCGTCGGTTAGTTGAAACAGAATTAAATATGGAAATCGTTCGACGTCAAACAACGATAAGTTAGATGCGATGCGCTTGCAGTTTGTTAAAAGATTCCAAAGCATCACTGATTTATAAAAATGTAATTTTTTATTTTGTCGATTTCTATGGTTTTGAAAAATGGAAAATTATAACTAAAACCATGAACAGATGCAGTATTTTTTTCTCTAAAAAAACGTATTTATACTTTTGCTCTAGGGGAGCTAGTAATTGACTATAAAGAAATTACCATTGAAATCCCTATGCTGCGTTGCGCTAGGCACCACCCTGTATAAAGAGGTTAAAGTAATACAAAAATTGATTTGAATATCTATTATGTACACAAGACGAGAAGTGCCTATATTTTACCGAAGATCCTTCAAAACAATCGGACAATGAGCTTCTTACATTGAGCCCGCTAAAGAATTCGTCGACCTAAAACCCTGAGGCAGCCCAACAAGGTCAAGATATGGGGGATCCAAGGCAACAACGGAAAAGAATTTGCTTCTCGCCCCGTTTTTAAAGAAATTCTAAAATGCATCTATAGCAATGGAACATCTATGGCGTCGTTGTAGGAAAATTTAACAACGCCGTATTTGGTGTGAAAATAGTGACTTCGCCTCGCCGGAAAGTGAGTTGATTTATCGATTCCTAGGGATTCTTATTTCGCTACAGATAAGGGTCCTTCTAATTGCGGAATTGGATTAATAACATTCAGTCGACGCTGTTTAATCAATTAGTTGCATAATGCGGAAATGCACAATAATTATACGAAAACAATATTATTCCAATCAAATCTAATCACTATTAAAACAAATCGTGACAATTATTAACAAGGAAAGTATCTGAAGGGCTATTAAAATTACCTAAGGATAATAATAATCTTTAGTCTGGCAAAAAGTGAAGTTACTTTCTTTGGATGGTATATAAAGCGAAATTTCCTCGGTGGTAAGTCAGTTGTGAGTTACAATGAGTTCCTTGCTTGTAAGTAATCAACTCTGTACATATGCAATGTGCATGTCAGTTTATTGCAGGTGATGATTTTGGCGATTTGTGGTGTGCGAGCTGAGGTCTTCTACAACGGTTACAACGGGCTGTCGGCAGCTGAGATAGCGGCCGCGGTTTCAGCAGCGAAGGACGCCTCGGCTAATGTACATTCGGCCCAGCACCGCGTACATCTGGCCAAAGAGGAGGTGCTGGCTCGACAAAAGATTGCCAGCGAGAAACAAGCTGCAGCAGCACTCGCTGTACAGCATACGGAGGTGGCCGTAGCCGTGCAGAGGCAGCGTGCTAACGCTGCAGCAAACGCTCTTGTTTTAGCTCAGCAGCGTTTGGCACATGCTAAGGCAGTTGTGGCGGAACATCAGCGTATCGCATCCGAGAAGGAGGCGGCTGCAGCAGCCGCCATTCATCATGCTGCCAACATTGCCGCCTACCAGATTAAGAAGAATGGTACGTAATCAACATTTTGTATACCGGGATAACCGATTTCTTGTAGAGAACACCAATGCTAAAATCGCCGCGCTGAACTCTGTTGCAACAAACGCTTTCAACCACATCGCCACAGCAAAGGATACCACACTAGCCGCAACTTCCGCTGCCATTCAAGCAAATGTCGATCCTTGGCATTTGTCACAGAATGTAGTTCATTTACCCCTTTGGGGTTAACTAACTTAATACCAAATTGTGGTTTATGGGTTTCTAAATAAAACTTTATTTTATTCTCCTTGCATATTAAAATCACCACCCCTTCAGTTGAAGGGCAATAACTAATTTTTAGCGATTTTAGCGTTAATTTCCTAGAGTACCAGAAAAATCAATATCATCCCGAGATTCGTTGCCATAGGAACGGGTGCGGTCCTGTACTGCTTCCCATTCACTGTGCCAGTCGCGATGTTTACAAATACAACGGGGTGCCACTAATTAAGCGATATGTTAGTAAAAACAGTCGCATTTTTGCTTTTCCTTTACAAAGCCGCGGCTGACCAATGGTCCTCCGCAAATCCAACAGTGTTTAATATCGGTGGGGTTTTGAGCAATAATGAAAGTGCACATTATTTCAAGGAAACTATTCTGGTAAGTTGACTAGTAAATGGGGCACTCATCATTTATGCCGTAAAACTCGTAGCATTTGAACTTTGACCAGCAGTACGTTCCTAAAGGAGTCACTTACTATGACAAGGCAATTTTAATGGACCCAAATCCGATACGCACCGCCTTAAATGTTTGCAAATCAGTTATTTCACGAAGAGTAAGTTGTTAATTAATCCCCGTCTCATAATATTCCTATTGGCTTCAGGTATACGCCGTAGTCGTTTCTCATCCCCTAACAGGAGATCTTTCACCGGCCGCTGTTTCTTACACCTGCGGATTTTACCACATCCCAGTGATAGGCATATCATCACGTGACTCAGCGTTTTCAGATAAGGTAAAGCAAAGCGAAATGTTATTCAATTGTAAGTTAAATTTAAGAACATCCACGTATCCTTCCTTCGCACTGTGCCACCCTACTCGCACCAAGCGGATGTTTGGGTGGAGATGTTGAAGCATTTCAATTATAAGAAGGTCATTTTCATACACAGCTCGGATAGTGATGGCCGAGCGCTTCTGGGACGGTTCCAAACCACTTCGCAGAATTTGGAGGACGATATTGAAATTAAAGTTCAGGTTAGTGCCTTGTTTCCATAAACTAGAACCGCTCACCGAGATTTGTAGGTCGAATCCGTTATAGAGTTCGAACCTGGGCTGGAGAATTTCATCGATCAACTCATCGAAATGAAGAATGCCCAATCGAGAGTCTATCTACTTTACGCCAGCAAAGTGGACGCGAAGATCATTTTTAGAGACGCCGCCCTGTACAACATGACCGAGTCGGGTTATGCGTGGATTGTCACCGAACAGGCTCTAAAGGCCGATAACGTACCCGAAGGCATTCTAGGTCTCAAACTTGTTAACGCAACCAATGAAAAGGCTCACATTCGTGACAGCATGTAAGTAGCTACATGTGCAGAGAGGACTATACGGTGTGTTTCAGTTATGTTTTAGCATCGGCTCTACGCGACATGAACCAGACCAAAGAAATCACGGAAGCGCCGAAGGACTGTGACAATTCCGGGTCGATTTGGGAAACTGGGCGTGAGCTCTTCAATTTTATCCGGAAACAGATTCTGTTAAACGGCGAAACTGGGAAAGTCGCATTCGATGATCAAGGTGACCGCATTCATGCGGAATACAACATTGTCAATATTCAGCGACGGAAAAGTCAGGTTGTCGTTGGCAAATACTACTTCCACAAGGTAAGCTGCGCTCAGCCACCTCTCGCACTTACACGACGCTCTCCAGGAAAGTACCAAGATGCAATTAACCGTTGAAGAAAAACGCATACTGTGGCCTGGGCGCAAGCTAGTGAAACCTGAAGGCTTTATGATACCAACACATCTAAAGGTGCTTACAATTGAAGAAAAGCCCTTTGTATACACCCGTAAATTAGGTGAGGATCAGGAAGCGTGCCTCGCCGATGAAATCCTATGCCCTCACTTCAACTCAACCCAAGATGGTAAGTAACTTGACTCAATCCAAATTTCCCTTTTAGTGACAGTACTATTAATGCCAAAAATTACGTTGATAATTTTTACCACCCGCAAGTGAGTAAGGGAGGTATTGCATTGGTGTAAAAAATGACCCCCCCTCACTTTTTTTGGAAATGCACGTTTTGAGACACCAGGAATCTGAATCAAATAAAATCTTGATGATGTCGATCGGCCTGTCTGCTGTAGGTACTCTCATTTCCGGCTAAATGGCTGCACCGATTAGAACCACATTTGGTGCTATTTCTAAGACATAAAAGGGCAGAATCACGCAAGCGCAAGCGTATGGGTGGAATCTGTACTAGCCACAGCAATTTTTTTTAAATAAGCCTGGAGTCTAACATGAGCTGTTTGCAATTCATATATCAATTTTTTCAAAATTTAGGTTTTTTCCTTAATTCTTTTTCTCCATAACAGGTTTCACATGAAGACATTTTCACAAAAATCCCGAGGTTTCTAAGCGAGGTTGCAAAAATTCGGTAGGTATCGGAGGGTTTTTCATCATGCCAATCCAAACAGCGATCGCACATGCCAAATAAATCCCATGGTAGTTGCACGTTACTAAGGGAGCATTGTAAAAAATAACCCCCCACTTTTTTTTACGGAAATACACGTTTGGAACACTAGGAATCCGAATCAAACAAAATCTCGATGTCGGTGTGTGTGCCTGTCTGTCTGTACTATACTCTACTGTCTGGCGAAACGACAGAACTTATTGGAACCAAATTTGGTACGCAGTTTCGTAGACATAAAAAGAAGAGCACAAGGAAGAAATGCGCAGGTGTATGGGTGGTACCTATCTGTGTTGGCCACACCACATTTTTTTAATATGATCTATGATTTGCACCACGATATAATTTTGAAAACTGACGATATTTTATGTACAACACGTCATGTCAGTAATCAATAAAAAGGAAGCCACTACCTAAACTATAGCTTTTAAAAGGACAGAATTCTACATCAATTCCATGAATTCCAAATGAATTCCAAGAGGTTATCCACCAGAATTCCACAGTAGTTTGCGCTTCGGATTTCAACCAAATATGATGCAAACTGAAATCCATTGCTGAAATTCTGTACCTACCTGCGATTCTAAAACTTGTACAGTTCTAGAGGTGGTGACGCTATTGGTAATTTTACGGCAGTAGTAAGTTTGTCCACTTCCAGAGATGTTTACTATTTCTAAGGGGCTTTCTAAGATTCCCAAAAGGTTTTTTTACGTTTTCTAGCATTATTAACGAGCTTCTAGCGAGTTTATAATTTCAATAAACTTTACGGGAAAGACGCTCACTTCGATAAGAAGACTTCTGATAATGTATCGATCTGTGGAGTTCCAGATCTAGCAATGCCATTGTTTACTTGCCCTATATTTACAGTGGGCAACTCTGGAGGAAAAACGAGCGTTTTAATCCAACTTTTCTGCATGCACGTGCTTTCTGACGTAAATTTTAGGAAATGGTCTATAATTTTCTTTTGTATGTATATTGTTGTGTAAACTACGCCATGTGGACGATTTTATTGGTATCAACAATGTAATGATCGGTATGAGTTAAATTTCAATTCTTTTTAAGTTAAATGTGGTCGCTAATTTAGATTGAACACAATTTCCATCATATCATTTGAATCGAGGTCAATGTTGATTTGTTTTTGAATTTTATAAGCTTAATTTGTTTAAATAATTACTTTGGATTATTTATCTTATTGTTCAGTTATATTACGTGTTTTAAAAAATATTAGGGACATCTGGAAATAAATGCGTAGTGTTTAATTTTCTAGTTTCAAGTTTCTAGGTTCTAAGGCTTTTCCTAACGCACGATAACCAGTTTGTGTAAATCAGGAATCATGTGAAATTAAAGTGGAGATTCTGAAGGTATATCAGTTTGTGTTTGTGTTCCCAGTTATGACCGGATTTTAAGATTATTAACTTTAAGTTAATTAAAACTTTATTTAACTAATTTGTTTCAATCGATCGCATGTGCGTGGCACTTTGTTTGTTGACCTTGGGTGCGTTTCTCTCTTTTACAGCTTTATTAATTGATTTATGTCGAATAAATTTTTTTCATCTGCAAGCGATCAGCTTGGTGTTTAATGGACCCCAAATAACCACCCAGGACATAAGAGGTCTCAAGATACATTTTCTATTCGTGCCAAGGATTATGTTAGGTTTTTACTCTTTATTGAGATTTTCCTCTTACCAGATAGATAAGAAGACCTTTATGCTGAAAAAATTCTCCCTTGTGTAAGAAAGTGGGCTGTTCGGGAATTTTAAAGTCCTTAAGTAAAAGCCGTTTTATCAATGTACCAATATTAAAATGAAATTTTCATACGTGAGCGCTATGCATGTCCCTTTCACGCCTTCTTGATCTTACTTGCCATCTCCATTCCCGCCTATTTAACTCACGCTTTTTCTCATTTCATTTCTCATTTCTTCCAACGGTTGCTTCATTATTTTTTTCTTTTCCGTCATGCTTTCCTTTTTTTGTGATTAATGTTTCCTCCCTTCACATCTCTACACTTCATGCTTGCTTCAAAGTTATTTTCCTTCACGCCTCTTTCACTGCTGCGTCACGAATCCTTCTCTCTTAGTTACATATCATTTGATTCCTTTACGTCTCGCTTCCACTTCTCTTCTTTTCTAACCACCCATCCCCATTTACATTTTAAAATTTCTCGCCATATTTTAATCTCGCGAAATCTTTGGAAAGATATTCTGGCCATGTTTTTAATTTCAAGTTGCCACTGAACAGTTTCCTACCTTAGCTTTTTGTTCGAGTTAATTCTCCTGTATTACTTTATAGAGACAGCGAAATACTGCTGTAAGGGATTCTGCATGGACCTTCTCAAGGAATTGTCCAAGAAGATTAACTTCACGTACAGCTTGGCTCTTTCGCCGGATGGCCAGTTTGGTAACTACGTCATTAAGAACACATCAGGTAAGGCTTAAAGGCCCAGCGCTTTCGTTAACTATTAGTGTAGCAATCGGGATGAAGAAGGAATGGACCGGGTTAATTGGCGAGTTGGTAACGGAAAGAGCAGATATGATTGTGGCGCCACTAACGATCAATCCTGAGCGAGCTGAATTCATCGAGTTTAGCAAGCCTTTCAAGTATCAAGGTATCACAATATTAGAGAAGAAGGTAATCGTTTTTTGCTATCGTTACGTTTTCACTCGCATATTTCAGCCATCGAGGTCTTCGACACTCGTCTCGTTCTTGCAACCCTTTAGCAATACGTTGTGGATTCTGGTGATGGTTTCCGTACATGTTGTCGCTCTAGTGCTTTACCTTTTAGACCGATTCTCTCCGTTTGGTCGGTTTAAGTTGGCCAACACGGACGGTACGGAAGAGGACGCGTTGAATTTGTCGAGCGCAATTTGGTTCGCATGGGGTGTGCTGCTAAATAGCGGAATTGGAGAAGGTACTCCGCGAAGTTTTTCAGCCAGAGTTTTAGGTATGGTCTGGGCGGGTTTTGCTATGATAATTGTAGCTTCTTACACTGCCAACTTGGCCGCATTTCTCGTCTTGGAAAGGCCCAAAACCAAACTATCTGGAATAAACGATGCGCGAGTAAACTTACCATGCTAGTCCTCACTGTCTGACCTAACTTGTTGTAGTTACGCAACACCATGGAAAATTTAACTTGCGCTACAGTGAAAGGTTCTGCTGTCGATATGTACTTCAGGAGGCAAGTAGAGCTGTCGAATATGTACAGGACAATGGAGGCAAACAACTATGCGACCGCAGAAGCCGCGATTGCCGATGTGAAAATAGGGTAAGAAGACTTTAGAAGTACGTGCGATTCACTCACAATCTTGCAGGAAGTTAATGGCTTTCATCTGGGATAGTTCTCGTTTGGAATTTGAGGCAGCGCAAGATTGCGAGCTGGTGACTGCAGGGGAATTATTTGGAAGGTCCGGATATGGCATAGGCCTTCAGAAGGGATCGCCGTGGGCCGATGATGTGACGTTGGCCATTTTAGACTTACACGAGAGTGGGTTCATGGAGAGCTTGGATAACAAATGGATTTTGCAGGGAAATTTGCAGCAATGCGAGCAATTCGAGAAAACGCCCAACACGTTGGGTCTGAAAAACATGGCAGGAGTGTTTATTTTGGTAGCGGCCGGAATTGTTGGTGGCGTGGGTTTAATTGTGATCGAAATGGCCTACAAGAAGCATCAGATTAAAAAACAGAAAAGGATGGAATTGGCAAGACACGCTGCGGATAAATGGAGAGGATGTGTTGAGGTATATGATTCTGCAACATATTGTGTTCTATTGTACTTTTTGCAGAAACGGAAGTCTTTACGTCTGACAACCACTCAGAGACGGATAAAATCAAACGGGGTTAATGATACTGCTACTATTTCATTGGCCGTTGACAAGTACCAAAGGACTGGTGCCCCAGAACGTGCTTGGCCCGGCGATTCTGATATCAGACAACGAAGAATCGAAGAGTCTGGTGGTGTTCAACCTGTGCCGCGTTATTTACCAGCTTATACTACTGATGTTTCTCATTTAATTGTTTAAAAAGAATTGATGTACCTAATAGCTGCTAATTAATAAATCCCTAAGAGTTTATCATGGTGTCTTCATTTGTTTGACAAAATTACATTTTGAGATACCCCAAAATTTAATTTTCATGTGCTGCAATATAGGCAATTTACATTAGCAAAGTGTTACATCGGTTGCATAAGTAATAGAAAATTACTAGTAACAAAATGCATTTTTGTATTGGGTTTACTGGATTCTAGTTACGACAGTAAAGACCTCAGAGTAAGAAATGTAAAGACATCTGAACTGATACCCCTATAGTAAGCAACTTAATTTAATGTGGTAAAAATTACCCACCGTGAAATTATAATGAGTTCCAAAGAATTTATGTAAATTGAGATTTTTCATCCGATTAACAAAGGAGAAGTCATAAATATTGGTTTAAAAATTTATTTAATTACCAATTTGCCGATTAATGTCGACTGTAATTTTTATCAAGGCTATAACAAACTGCCAAATGATATAATTCCTAATTATGTAAAAAAAAGACGTTTTAAAACTAGCAAAATTGGGTAACACGAGCAAAAAGTGCTTCTAAGTCAACATGGGTAATTATCTAATAACAGCTAATACTTTCAAAATGTGGTGATTAACGTTGTATTTATGTATTAGGTGTATCAATCTAACTAATTAGTACATACAAACGTGTCTCCCCACAAAGAGTGGAAAAATTGCCATAAAAGCAACAGTAATAAGCAATAAGCCACAAACGCATACAAAATAATTATCAAAAAATCACCAAAATGGTTACCTACTAATTTTGCCGGAACTTGGGGAAATCTATACCCGAATCGTGACCGTTACACTTTATGTATTGTTCTTCAGATGAGTTCCTATCAAGATAATCAGCTTACTTCAATTACGCAAATATGAAGACTCCCGACTCTGCAGATAAAACCGAAGATTGACAAAAAACAGAATCATTACTATGGCTAAATCATTTATTAAATTCTAGTTCTAGTTCTTGTCTAGAAACTTCGGAGTTGTTCAAAATTCTTACTAAAATGTTTGATGTTTTTGAGAATTCTAAAATCTTTATCAGAAGTTTAAGATATTTTCTTGATATTTGGGCACCTTTTTTTAGAATTCCAGATGGTTTCCTGGAATTAGTTGAATCAGAACGTCTTGTAATATTTTTCCCAGAATTTTTTTTTGATAATAATTATTACAGTTTATTATCACCAGCAAATCAATCAGGAAAATATATAAAGGATTGATTATATGGTAACATAATCATCCTTCTAAACAGCTAGCTAGGTAAGTAAAACATAACTTTTTGTTAAATTCCGATATTTGTCGGAATGTTTTTCTTGAAAACTGTGTTTCTAGTAACCGTAAAAGTTTTGAGTGTGTGTAATATTTTTGTGAGGAATCCTGATTTTCTCTTACCCCCAGAATGTTTCGGAGGTTTTGCATGTAGGAAAATAAAATGATTGGCGAGGAAATACTGAAGTACGAGGCCCCTTTGGGACCGAGTACTTTAATATCCGAGTGAAGTAGTATCATCTCTTACTGAGGAATTTTGTACTACATTTTTCCCGAAATCGTCTTTTTAATATAAAATTTTTAATCATACAGAACTATTGATTAATATTACCGTGTCAGTTTTCACAGGAGTCTAGTAAAGTGACAGGAGGTCCTGTAATCAGGAATAGTGGTACTGTCATGAAAACAAAGTGGGCATGAAAATGAAGGTTTCATTACAATTCCGATTTTTCAGGGAGCTTTTATCATTTTATGGGTTCTTTCTTAAACCCTCTGAAATTTAATTTGGATAATATAGTTTAATGATTTTTTTGGAGAATGCAAGTGGTTTTTCTTGGTTAAAGCTTTTATTTCGTAACTTGGGTTTTTTACGAAATTATACAAATATTCTCACCAATTTTCAATTTTTCTGAGAAATGTATGACTTTATTCGGAATTCTAGTGCTATTCTTGCACTGTAAGATGTTTTCTCACAAGTCACGGTTTCAAAAAGCTGCCACAAAATAGTCTAGGGCTAATATTCGTCTTCATCCTTTGTTGCTCCGCTCTTACATTTTTTTCTTGCACTAACACATCTTGATGCACAAGATTCATGGCTCTTTCCGTTAAACTTTGTTGAAAGTGGAAGCACAGAAGAATTTCTAAATATAATGGTTTTTAAAAGGTACCGCACGGTTATTGGAAGTAATTATCATCAGAAATGAGTCACGCATGCTCCAAAATATTAAAAAATGGAAAATGGTTTTCGCTTTAAGGCGAGTAGCTTCAACGCATATATCTTGAAAAATGTAGTTAAGGCCTCGGACGGACGGTCGGAGAAACTGGGCATAACAGCGTCTGCCAACATGAGTTGGAATTTTTTGTTTCACAGGATAATATATAATAATAATTTTTTTCAGTTTTACCATCTTTTTAATCAATTAGGTCCATTGTGCGATGGTTTACTGACGTTTCCACTTATTCTGAGAGCTGAACGGATAGGTGCCACTTAGTCTTTAGTAAGTTTCAAAAGAGAAAAGACAATACTTACCTAAAAGGGGAACAATGCAGACTAAGAGATCCTTGTTTTGGTCTTGATTAGCTAAAGAATTATTATTTGAAAGAGTAGAATATAAACATTAATAATTGTGGTCAAAATCGAGGGTGATTTAATTGATGGTCTCAAAATATTGCACACAGGAAACTGTAATATCTAGATCTGAAATGTCAACGTTTAAATTTAACTAGTAGTTTTTAGCAAAAAGGGATCAACTCGTAATCTGGAAAAGTACCATCAAAACAGGCTTTCTCAGAAAACAATAGAGCTATAATTAAAAAATGACTATTCACACAAATAGAGAATTCGAAAATAAAAATATTATCTTTGAACTCTGGTCGTAACGGCCGTCTGACGTGAGACGCATCCTGTCGCAGCTGGCGTAGTTGAAATCTATTGTGATTGGCGATTTATTAGAAATTTCATAATAGTTATTTATATAACAAAAGCGCGAAGTTCAATTTCGCGCATTGAGACTGAAGGTATTTTGACGAGGCGAAGCCAAGTTAAAATCAGTCAAATGCGCAAAATAACTTGCTCAAACCGTGTACGACCAGATTATTTGGATTATTAAGAAAAAAACTGTAAGTAATTTACGATTTAAAATATTAACTGTCGATCGCCTGCGTGTGAGATAATTGGTCCAAACGAGCTTTCTTTCAGGAGTTGAGTGTTATCTCTTTCATAGGTTTCGGAATAAATTTATTGTTATTGTCAATCATTTAATTAAGTGTGTTTATTCTAATCCAAAGTGCGATCGAGATAGAGATTTCATGTCACATTTTCCACAATCTAATCTCATTTTCTTTCGCGCCCAATCACATTATATAAGAACTGGTATCGCGCATATTATTCTAATCAAAGTAGTATAGTGGTAACCTGGTAACTAATGCGGTTACCATCGAACAAATTTGGCAGTCCATCAGACGACAATAAAATTATTCGTGCTATAATAACAGTCATATCAACATTTTAAAATGTTTAATTTTTAACAATATAAAATTCAGGAAAATGATGCATTACTGGCGAGGAAATATTTAAGTACGAGGCCCCTTTGTTTGGGGCCGAGTACTTTAATTTCCGAGTCAGGTAATGACATTTTACTGACGAGTTTTGTATTACACTTTACCCGAAATCGTCGTTTAATACAACATTTCAATTTTTATATATAACTTTTGATTAATGTCAATCTGTCAGTGATGACAGGAGTCATTATAAACACAAGGAAATGTCAAAAATGCGGCCGGTAAAGTGACGGTGCGGCCGGTAAAGTGACAGGTGCGGCTAGTAAAGTGACAAGCGACAGGAAACGTAGTCTGCTCTGCCTCTGTCATGAAAACTAAAATTTCCTGACAGAAAGTAGGCATGAAAATGTAGGATTCAGGAGCAGGACGATTTTGGGGAAATTACAGATATCGATATATGGAAAGTTTTCAACATGTTTTTACGAATTAACTGAAATGTAATGAATATTTCCCATAATGCCGTATACTGATATCTAGATTCGTTTTATTCTAACTAATCATTTCTGGAGAAATTGCTTAAAACATAACAGTAGCTAAATATGATTGCAGTGCAACAAATAAGTCCATGTATTAGCCCCGAGATTTCAACAGGTAAACGCAAACATTGGTACCTACACTAATTTGCAGTTACAATGTCAAACAGATTAGCAAACAAATTATAAAGTTAATCCAAACGGAAAATAATTTGTCTAAAGATAAACAATTTACTTAAGCGAAAGGTGCACTTCTTGTGTTCAAAGTACAAGGCATCGATGGAATGTTTAGTAATAAATCGAATTACGTATCTGGTAATATACATTACATTTCGTGGATAATACGATAAAGACATTTTGGGAAATGGAGCAAGTAACACCAAATGAGCACTATCATCCAACGATAGACGAGAATGTGAATACCATTTTGAGAGAACTACATATACGAAAGGTCGAAATGGACGATTGCAACCATTCTGTGGAACGATATTATAAAGTTGGTTAACTTCTTTATACCGACGCATAGCGTCTATTCTTGCGGTTTGAAAGAAAATTATTTAGAATTTATAAGAGAATGCCTAATAAATCTTGAATACATGAGTAAAATTAAAATACCACCTGAAGTAAGAAGTAAAAATTACTTTTTGTGGTGCAGTTGTCCGCGAAAGTGTTACAATAACAAAATTGACTTGTTAGGAATAGTAAATTTGCGTATTCAACAATCATTTCGAAAAGTCAAAAGTAACTTTTAGGTGTAATTGTACCTGTTTCTGTCATAGCAGGTATTCGCCAACGGTATACTATGAGTATATCTAAGATCCAATGAGCCAAGGGAAGTATCCGCGTATCAATTCTTTGTTTTATGATGATTGACCTAAAAGTAAATGGCGCCGAACTATAGAAACAATGCAATGGATTGCGGGACGAGGAAAAACTTTTTAGTAGCCTGATTCGTAGCAAAGTCTTTTTATTTACGAGTGTTAAAATGTACGCGAAGGAATTTGTTCG